GTATCCTTCTGTAAGACTAACACAGCAAAGATGTATCTAAAGAAATTATAAAGATTTAAGCCAATCAGAAACTAATAGCAATTTTAAGTAGATGTGTATGCCTGATTTTAATCAAATGTATTTTGACACTGTAACGTAGCAAGCTTCCCCTATCATTCAGATCCTTCTCCAAAGTACATTTTTCTTGTATTAGCTGATCTTTCCATTTACACATTTTTTGGTAAGCATGTAAAAGAACCCAACCTCTTCAGCATATAGTAGCTAACTCCTTGCCCTTATTGAGAGGCACACTTCATAACCCTTCCATTAATAGGAGTGGATTCCCCTGTTGCAATTTACCATCCCAGTTTTCACAAAGCCCTGTTCCATTAGCTCACTCTTTGGCTAGTGAGTTGAACTGTAAATCTTCCCATCCAGGAATATCACAAGTGAGGTGATCATTTTACATCTGATTTTTTACTGAGAAAGAGAGGCAAGTTAGCTTTCACATGGTTCCTGCTCACAACACCAATCTGTATTGATAACATAAATTTTGTCAACTGTGGTGCACCTTTACTTAGGTTTTGGGCTCAAGAGAAAAGAGGTTTCATTGTCACTGTACAAAAAGTAGAATAATAAAATGTTGTTATGGTTTATACAAAAAATGTCCTCTAAAAAGGCTCATGTGTTCAGGGGTGGAGGTTTTGGAAGGTGATTAGCTCATAGGGCACTGGATTGGTTATTAGGAGATGAGGTTCAGGTGGAGGACATGGGTCCCTGGGGGCATAGCTTTGAAGGGTATTGTCCCTCATTGGCTCTTTCTGGATCTTTCTGCTTCCTGGATGCCCTAAGGTGAGCAGCTTTCCTCTGCTGTGCCCTTTTGCCATGATGTTTTTTTTGCCTTGGCTCAGCCAATCATGGGCTGAAACTTCTGAAACCATGAGCCAAAATAAATCTTTTGTCCTTTAAGCTGTACATATTGAGCATTTTCTCCCAGTGATGCAAATGTAATCAGGCATATTTGTTCATTTTCTTTACTATAACAAAATATCTAAAACTGGGTAAACTAATAAAGAAAAAATATTTTCTTAGCTCACAGCTTTTAGAGGGTGAATGTTCAAGATCAGTGGCTGTACTGGATTAGCCCTTGTCAATAGCCTAAAAATGGAACAGCAATATGGGAGCTCGTGTGGAGGTGAGGGATCACACCACAAGACAGGAATTCAGAGAACAATTCACTGATCAGGTTCAGGCCTCTATAAAAATTTAGTCTTTTGAGAACTCACTCCAGAAGACCAGTGTTTCCTCCTGAAGCCAGAACTTAGTCAAGTCTGCATTGATTTAAGGACCTTCTACTAGGCCCTACCTCTTAAAGGTTCCATCACCTCCTACTGGGGACCAACACTGCAACTCATGTATTTTGGGGAATACACTACATCCAAGCTATTGTGTATTGACAGGAAAACCGGTTCATTTACAATCTTTACACTTTCTATGCAAGGAGACTATAAGGAAAATCATTTAGAATAAATCACTGTTAAATTCATTAGTGTCTGATATAAAAGATAAAAGTTATTATAGTTACTGTTATGCTTTGTGTCTATCCAGTGCTGGGACTAAGGGTATGAGTACTATACCCACCCTAGGGCAGGCAGCCTGCATACAATATAAGCGACAGAAAGAGGCTTGTCTTTTATCTTCCCTTGTTGCATTTGCTGTCTTCTACTGCTATGAACTGTTGCTCTCTGCCATGTGCCACCCTGCCTGGAGCCAGCTGATTACAGACAGAAATCTCTACAGACTATAAGCTAAATAAACCTTTCCTCCTTTAACTTTGGGTGTTGGGTATTTTGTCTCAGAAATGAAAAAACTAATTAAGAAAGTTACTATGAGTTATTCAAGAGTGTGAAGTTTTGATTGCTAAAGTTTCCACGTTTTTCAACGCTTGTCTTTTGATCTCTGAAAAAAACCAAGTTAATAAAAGATTTTTGGAAAGTCAAATCCT